AAAAAAAGAAAAAAAAACAAATCTCTCAATATTAATTATGTCAACACAATTGCAAGATGAATTTGAAGACAAATTTGAACATGAATCATTGTTCCTATACCTTGATAATGAATTATTTCTATATGTATCATATCAAGACGAATTGTATCTGGGTGAATCGAATTAAAATGAATCGTATTATGATGGATCGAATCAAAATAAATCATATCCTGATGAATCAAATCAAAATGAGTCATATCCTGATGAATCAAACCAAAGCGAACAACCTTGCCCAGATGAGTCATCATCACAAACAGAATTCCAAAATACTAAGTAACATATTCAAAGTCTTATTATCAAATGGCTTGGTGCTAGAAAAAGGGACGAAATTAACAAAAAAAAAAGTTCTTTGAAAAATCAATTTTTATATTATAAATTTTATAATAAATCATAAGAAATGCAATATTTAAAGAGCTATACTGCAAAATTTTATTAATATAACTATTTTTGTATTTAAGTAAAAATAATTCCAAATTGATTTATGTAAAAAAAATTCTTTTGAAAAAACTGTTAATTTCATTCCTCTTTCCAGTACCTAATCCAAATGTATATTATTTATTAATTTTTTACTTGTTATAGATCTATTGTATGGAAATATTTTAATAAAGGAAAGGGAAATGCGAAATGCTCTATTTGTAAAAGGGTATTAACCTATCATGATAGAACAACTTCAAACCTTCTAAAGCATCTTAAAATGATATATAAGGGTAAAGTGCCTGAGCTAAAAGAGCCGGAAGTAGAAGAGGGTATTTCTGTCTTGGATATGTTGAATAACCAAAAACATTGTCGTGAACCCTTTAGCCAACAATGACTTACTGCAATGATAAAAAAATAGATTGTAAAGCATAATCGGCCATTTCAAATTGTTGAAGATAATGAATTAAAATTAATACTTACTTACTTGGAACCCCGTGCAGTAGGTAAAAACAGAATTTAATTATAAAATGTTTAAATATTTTGTAATAAAATATAATTACTTTTAGTATATAAAATAAAACATGTTAAGACTATTGCGTCTATAAATTTTGTTTTTTTTATATAGATTTTGCAGTACATTATGTTTTTACATCACTCTGGTTATATCGACATTTG